AGTCGACAATGTGTAAAGTCGCTGCCGGGTCGGGACTGCTGTTTTATCACTCCCTCTCGTTCCCATTTCAACACGACGTCACCAACTGTTTACCGTGGTATCTGAAACTTGTCGGAGTTGGCACGTATGGAATGACCAAATCGGTGGGCGCCTATGATCATGCGCCTTTCCGCCTCATTCAGCTCTCGCCGTCCACTCATTTTCACTGTTAACGCTCGTATGGCCGTCGCCTGCTTGCGAATGGTCTTTCCCCCACCACAGGTTCCGTATTTATTCCGCCAGGACGAGTCCACCTGCCGTTCAAGGGGTGTCCGGTCATTAATGGCTATATAGTGTATATATTGGTATATAATATTTAGTTATCAATTATTTAGAGGCGTCGAATTTCTTGTAAATTTAATTTTTTAAAATAGGGAATTGTGATAAAATCTGTTTAGGAAAACAAAAGTCAGGGAGATTTTTCCACCCTGTATATTTACTGGCAGCCTGTAAGCTGATTATTAATATATGTGCATATTAATAATCTGCTTACAGGGCAAATGTTTTTGATTTTGCTGCCCTGAAACAGGGCAAATGTTTCAGGGCAGCAATTTTTTTCTTTTCTTTTTATTCTTTTGTCATCTTCTATAACTGAAGGCATGGATCAACCCATGACATGTGTGCCACAGTGTCATATGGCAGAGTTTTAATAGTGGCTTGCAAAGACTTCTTGAAAAACTAAACACTATAGGAAAAAAATAGTAATGTTGCCTTCAGAATTTTTATCATTATTTGCAAAAATTCTACCACAGGAACTGTATGGAAGTTGGGAAACATGTACCAAACAGCAATTTTTTAAATTTACATGATTTGGCTTTCAGTTAGAGTTGTTAGATTTAAATCAACATATAATTGTGAACAAATATTTTCTACAATGAACATAATAAAATCAAATTACTGTTCAAGTATAACTGATAGGCTCTTAAAACACATAATTTTGAAAGTATTTTCAAGAACTAGTCCTAATAAAAATAATTTTGTAAAAGGAAATAAAAATCAAAAGCGAAACTAATAATTCATTGTAACTCATACTCACTAATAACTCATTAGTTAGAATCCCCTTACCGTGGGGCTATTTATAGAAGGTTTTTGTAGTTTTCCACTCAATGTAATACATATGCAAGTTAATGCCATAAAAAAATTCCTCCATGCAGGCAATTTCATCCTAATGTTTGATCAAAAAGTTCCCTTGTCTTCCACATTGGATTCTAAGATTACAAGGCTACTGAGTTAAACATTGAGATTTGGAATTGTCAACTGCAGAATAGATCTGTTGTTTAATGCCGGTTAATGAGTAAAATTACTTAATTTCAATTTGTTGCAGGATATTCAGGGTGATCCTCGCAAATTAGGCACAAGTCAATGCATTCAAGAAATTGCAGAAGAACATGTTAAACAAGTAAGTACTATTCTGCTCTTTTTTTTAAATTAGCCAGTTTTGGGGTATCTCAGTGTCAGATTCTACTTCTTTTGTTTCCCATAGTAAACTATGGAGAATTTACCCATTGTAAACTATGGAAATCGCAAGCATAAATGTTTCGTAATGTAAATTATATGTAATACTCGGTGTTGGGTTTTAGACATGACATGTCTAAAAGCGGCATAAACTGTGACCAAAACCTGGGACAAGTTAATTTTTTATCATTTGGGACTTTTTATTTAATAGCAAATCATATACAATGCTTGCATTTTATACAATTATAATTTATATTATATATAATATACAAAAAATTTAGCCAAAATTATTGAAACTTTTGTTTTTTGAAAAACATGACACTCTTAATGCTTTTGACCAATATTATTTGCTATATTATAACAGGGTTCCCACGGTACTTGAAAAACCTTGGAAGTTCTTAAATTTGGTTTTTAAAAAAATCAGAGCCCTGAAAAGTTCTTGAATTCTGCCATAGGGTACTTGAAAAGTACTTGATTTTTTAGGAATTAAAATACCACTAATCTTTCTTACAAAAAAGTTGTAAAAAGTAGTTAATTAATTAAAGGAAAGTTATCGAAATTCTGATTGATGTAATTTTTAATGTTTGAAGTGAAAAGGGATTAAAGAAAATGCAAAACTTATCTACCCTAGATTTTTCAGACCAGATTATTGTTCATGTCTCTGATGGTTTGAAAGTTGAAAATTTTAGATTTTATAGTCATAGGTTTTCGAATGATATATAGTGTTTAATTGATTTAGAAATATGTTCAATGTGTTAACTCCATTATTACGACAGGTTAATATTGTAATCCTATTTGTTCTTTTAATTTATGTACAAAGAATAATGAATTTTTTATAATTTATAATCAAATTTTTACATTTAGTTTTTACTGCTAATAAATAAAATTTAGTTCTACAGGTTTCATCAATTATGAATAAGCATCGTGATTCACATTAAACTGATTCTTGATTAACGCATCGGAATTCATATAAAATGTTCTACGAATTGCAGTTTAACTGAAAGTGATTAATGAATCACATATTGAATATTACTTTAAAGTGATTTGCAAATTACTCATCAGAATTCATGGTAAGGTATTTTATAAATCGCACATCATTATTCACATTAAGTGATTTATGAATCACATGATTCCAATTAAAGTTATTTCTGAATCATATAACGTATTTAAGTAATTTCAGAATCATGCCTCTCAATTCTCATTCTAATAGTTTACAAATCAAGCATTGCAATTCACAAAAGAGAGATTTAAGAATTACCACCCACAATTCTCATCAAAATGATTTAAGAATCACACAGCTGTTCTATATTAAGCCCCTTTCGAATCCCAAATTGCAATTTGCATCATAATGATCACTATTCACATAAAAACTATTAGCTAATCATGCAACAGAATTCACATTAAAGTGATTTATGTATCTCACATAGTGGTATCCTATGTCAATTGGAGTTACTTTTTCTTTTGCCAATTGGAATTTTTTCTAAGTGATTTGAAACAGCAATGTAAACTATCAACCATTTGTATTATTAGCTGATAAATTTAATAAATAATTTTTTTTTGTTGTCAAATAAGCATTGTGATTTAAAAATATAAAATTTTTGCTTCTACGTGATTGTAAAATCTGGTTGACATGTACTTTAGCATATAACCATAATACTGAATAGGTTTTTGAAAAATTTAATTTTAGGTTCTTGAAAGTCATTGAAAAGTCCTTGATTTTTTTTTTTTTAAATTGGGTGAGAACCCTGTATAACTGTTCAGTTTATGTTATATTTATTAATTATGAGTTGTTAATTATTATCAACCTAACTATTAATTTTAATTCTTCTATGCCACATTTTAGGCATATTTTTTTGATTAGCAAAACTTAATAGTCTCCAATAATTGTCTGATCCCTATTTAAAATTAAAGTTGTAAATTTTTATTAAATCAATATTAACTGTTATTACTCATATGCTGGGGAGCAAGTTTGGGGGGAAATTCAGACCATGAAAAAATTTTTGGCTTAAAACAATTTCTATAGTATTTTTAATTGTTAAAGCAAATAGCAAAATATTTCCTTATTATAACACTTTTGTGTCTATATGTGTGCATATCTAATATATATAATTCTCTTACGTGACTCCCAAATTTTGGCTGTATTTCTTTTCCGCCGGTGGCAACGTTTGCTTTGTTTTGTTTACGTTACTATTTCTCTTACACGGCGAATCGACCAATGATTGCCGCTAAAAATGTCACTTGCCAAATCTAGCTGAGGTGGCTCAACATATAGCGCTTTAAAAAACGGAAACTGAAATAACCAGAGAGCATCAGCTGCGACAATCTCATACTTTTAAGCTAGGCAGAAGTGAGTAGTCTTTGTCGATAGATCTCTATTTTAGTATTTTGTCGAAAGCGCCTTTTTTTCCCGAATTTATGTGTTACGAATTTATTTGACAATTTTTGATTTATATCACGAATTATACTTTAGCACATTTCTATTATATTTAACGAATTACATGTCATTTATTTTAATGACTTAGTATTTACTAAAAAGATGTAATTTTTTTTTAAAAAAAAAGGTTTTATATGGATTTGAATGATTGTTTTGAATTCTTAGAATTTTATGCATTTGCAATGTATCTAAGTTAGTAGTGAGCGAAGCGAGCTTGGTTTGCAAAGCAAACCATATAAGATTGCATAGCAATTTTCGGGGGTTAGCGAGCAGGGGGCCCAGCCCACTAGTTAGTTATAATTTCTTAAGTTAATGAGTGGGAACTTTAATTTAATAAATTATCACTATTTCAATTTATTTTGATTTCTATTATTTTTAGCACATATGCTTGTTTATTAAGGAATTGTTAAAAATCTAATTAAGTTATTTCTCGGTTTTTATTATCAAAATTTTTTAACAATATATGGACTTGAGTTGAGACACGGGCAAATGTATTAAGGGGTTAAAGAATTTTTTTTCCAACTTTTCCAAATGTATTGTTTCTTAGTTGTTTTTACATTTAAAAATTTTTAAAAATAACAGACAAACATTGATCATATACCACCCACTGACCCTTGTCAGCAAAAATAAGCAACTCATTTACTTTACCCTTTTTGGTGCTTGCATAATATTTGAACGGCATCGTTATAAGCTTGTAAAAAATTTAAAAAAAGAATCAGACTTATTCCTAAATTGAAGCATTCATGAAATCGTAACTTGTTTATGTAATTAATTTAAATTTTGTAATTATTTTAATTTAAAATGAATATAGTGATTAAACCCTGTGGCAGAATGTTTTCGGATTTTCTGCAACAGAACTCTAGAACTAATATCTTTCCCAAGATGCTTTCAATAATAGCAAAGTTGTATGTTACTAATTCAAGGTAACAAAAACGCTGTGTTTATAAAAACAATGTATATTTTTCTAATTTAATATGTAATATTTTTTTGATTAAAATATTATGGGCGATATGCTGGCATTATGTTAGGAAGAAAACTTACTAATTGTTTCCTTTATCGCATTTTGTAAATCATTAACGCATTAGAAAAGATAATTAAAAATCCTGAAATCCGTAGCAGTAAATGCCGATGACGACGAAATCACGCAAATCAGACTCTTCAAAAAGAGGTTACTCAAATGCGTGTTTTGTTTCAAGATTCAATAGTTGTAATAAATAATATTGGATTTTAAAAACTATATGGAAATCAAAAGCAATAATTGCCCAAAAAAAACGATAGAATCGCTGCCTGAAAAAGTAAATAATCGAATGCAAGATTAAAATTCCCCGTATCGACTGTAATATATCAGGATAATTAAAAAGCATCCATGTGAAAATCAATAACTGCCGAAAATACATTCAAAACACTACATGGATATCCCATATTGGCATAAATTGAACACAACAAAAATTGATAATTAAAATTTTGCGTGTGAAATTCTGCAGAAAGGAAGACCAAAATTGCTTCTTCCCAAAAGAATTTTTTTTCTGCATGAGCTCTGTAACGTTCTGCGACAATTTCGCCGTCCTTCTGCTGCAGGGGCGATTACAAACCGCTACAAGTGTTTAATGAAGAAGAATTCATCGATAAAATTTACACAGGATGTAAAAATAATTTTAAAATTTTGTATACATGCTTCACAGATTTTCAATATGACTTCCCTTGGTCACTCGGACAACACGTAGGCGGTAGTCCATTTCGCGCCATACATTCTGCGGATAACAGAATGACAGTGACGCTCTGAATTGTTTCTGCTCGTTCGCAGGATTCCACTTTACTGCGCCTTGTGTAAGGAAATTTTAAAGTTTCGCCTACATTCTTATCGATAAGTTACATTCTCATTAAATAATTGTAGCTGTTTGTAATCGCTATATTCGTTTTGAATAACCCTGTATATTAAAATCGTTTCCTTTTGTTTCAGGTCATAAAATATGAAAAAAAGAAAATGAAATGACATTTTACATATCATCTTGTAAATCTCATACATTATTGTATATAGAAGTTTTAAATTACTACTGAATATGAAATATATTTTTAATAAAATTAAATATTGTAATTGTTGCTTTCTTTTTTTGCTATTTTTACTTATTCTGAAATCTACGCTACTTTGGTCATGTTTTTTTTTTCCATTTAATATTGTAAAGTAATTCATAATTGGTAGGTAGTACTTTATTTACGTCGCACTAGAGCTGCACAATAGGCTATTGGTGACGGTCTGGGAGACATCCTACTGAGAATGATCCTAAGATGTGCCATTGCAATTTCAATCCTCTCCAGAGGGGATAGCTCCCCTGCTTTGGTAGCCAGATGAGCTGCATGCGAAGTCGAGCATTTTACGGTAGAACAGTTTAACGAGGACCAATACTGTGCACCCTCTGTCACTACCCAGGCTGATCAAAGTGGTCACCCACCTGCTTACTGACCGCTTGATTTCGGTGTTCTACTGGGGACCGTGTCTATACGATTAGTTACTTGATAATTGAGCCCTTAAAGGTATCTTTTTTTGTTGGGTTTTTTTAAAAAGTCCTTAATTTTCCCCTTCTCAAAATGAGATTTTTTTAACGATTTTTGCCACAAATTGTGCAAAAAGTATGGCACTGTTCTGTTCAATGTTTACACAATCCATTTCTGTGTACCGTTCGTCCGTAGCGTATGAAAGTGCCAATCATTTTACATGTTTCATGAAATGCTCAGTATACGCACATGTGCATATACTGAGCTGGATTAGGTTTGAAGGATTGTTGCACTTTCATTTGCAACTCAGTTGCATTTTGTAAGACATTCTTGATCTTTGGTTTCATTTTCCGCCCTCTGAAATCAAACCGAAAAAATGTCTCGAATTGTTGCTAATCGTGGGGACCAACTAAACATTGCCAAATTTTTTTTTCACTAATAGCAAAAGAAAATGTTATTTTTCTTGATAATTTCCTCGCTGGTGAAGCGGCATCGTCTTTGTCACTGCCAAGCCAATGGCCTACTACTGCTCTTCTGTTAATAGATCAGTACTGTAATCCTTGAACTTGACTTGGGGACCATTCACTAATTACATATTTTTATGTGGTTCCAAAGTCGACAATCACAAAGGTTCATCGCCTCAAAATCTGCATCTCCCTTTTATTCGTTAAATTTAATAAAGATAAGAATTGAGAGTTTTAATCGTAGGATTTATTATCTGAGGGACAGTGCCCTGATTGCAAAGAATCATTTTTAACTTTTATTGTAATTCATTACTTTTTTTTTTCTTATTACTTTTTATTATTGTATTGTAACTCTTAACATTTTCAGTGCTTGAAAATGAAGAAAAAAAAACAATAATATTTAGATACGAAATTTTTAAAAAAGCGCGAAGTGAGGAGCTTTCACTATTATAAATGTTGCAAAAAATCTTGTTATTTAGATTTCTCATTCCAAAAAACTTTAATTCATCTCTTATTGTTTTGATTTAAAAACAATTCAAATAATGATTTCAGTTATTACATATTTGTTAGAAGTTATGAGTGTAGGGACCATTTAATAATTTACTTCTGACAATAATGTTTAGCTTCAATACTCCTTGTATTTACATTTTAAAATTACTTTTTTAGTCATTTCATTAAATAATTTCTGATTTCAAGTAAAAACTTTAGTAGGGAGTATTCACTAATTTGCATTAGTAATATGAATTTACTAAAGTTTTCTTAGTTCGCTTAATTTTTTACGTATCTATAAATTCAGTATGAACAGTAATGTTAATCTTGTTTATATTTTGTTGAATATGCTTTAATAAATATCTTTCATTTAAATATAAAAAATATGCTGAAACAACTTTTTTTAAATAATAGGTAAACTATAGTTATAATTTTGTATTAAAATGAAATTTTTTTAAATAAATGTTAATTTAATTAATTATAAATATAGAGTATAATTATAATTATATAGAGTATTATTAATATAGACTATAATTATTAATATATAGTAATTATTAATTTAAAAAATGGAATGAGCCTCTCAATAGGGAATATATTTAAACTTGTGCATAATTTGTTTTCATGGTGGCTAATATAGTCAAGAAAAGTTTTTTTTTCTGAAATAAGTTATTTTATTATGATCATGTAAAGTCTTTGTGAAAATCATTTTGCATTGTGTTTATATATATATATATATATATTCCCTTAGAAAGAGAAAACATGCAAAAAAAAATATAAAAATTTATGAAAAGCACAGGGGAAAAAATCGTTAAAATAAAATATCTTTTTTAAGTTTTTAAAAAAATTAATTAAAAAGCCGGAAAGCAAAATAAGGAAAAGATATAATCCGGTCATCAGCTCACACGATTATATCCACACAAAAAGTGTGCTTTCTAATATTGTATTAACATAGTCAAAGCAAAATATATTAATACTAAGGTGTGAGAAGCACCCAAAAAAATTGAAACAAAAATAGAACATATTGTGTTAAAGATACAAAATAAAACATATCAAGCAAAACATAAAAATAAAATGCACGAAAAATAGAAAATGTAACATACAAAGCGAGTAAGTAGTGAATTCATAATTTATCTGTATATTTATCTATCTACATATATTTACATGAACTTTCAATAATAGGAAGGAAAGAAATTTTAATGTGCATATCCTTATATTTTTTTGAAAAAAATAAAGTGCTTAAAAATATTTTTTGAATGCTTAAAAGGTGCTTATTTCTTGTTGAAAAATTTGGCTACGCCACACTGTAGAATCGTTTTCTCATCTCAAGTTTCTTGTATTTACCCTGATATCTTTTTTTTTTTTTCGGTATGTTCAAGTAGTCAGTTTTGTCAATTTTTTAATCACTAAATTTCAAGTCCTGATACCTACTTTACAATCCAAAAATTCAAATCCTAAAACCTCATCTCCAGATGACGTTTGAACAAAATAAATCATTAAAGCGGATAAGTATTTTTATAAAGGGAATTTTTTATAATTATGACAAAAAGTTATGTTATTTTATAAAAAAAAAAAAATTAAAAATACTATATGTAGTAGAGTTAAAAATTGTCAAAACCAGGACATCCAGAAAAGATTCTGCCCAGCATTAAACTACATTATTTGCATATCCGTCCTGCTTTATTTGCGCCATCCTTGCCCTAATGTCAGCCTATTTTGATAATTTCTTATTTAACAGGGTGCGTAGCGTTTGTAAAAAGTACTTAAAGGTGCTTTTTGGGGATTTCGTTTTTGAAAGCTTTTAAAGGTGCTTTTTTCAGCTGGCGTTTTTAAAAAGTGCTTTTTTTTCACGAATGAATTTTTTTTCCTTCAGTGATATCTGGTAGATCCCATGCATTTTACGAAAAATGGGGTGTTGGCTACGTAATTATTCACGCGGACTTCGTGTCGTACCCACGTTATGACTTGCGCATGCGCGCACACTCGAAACTGAAACCCGAGTGCTCCAATTCGGATAGAGAATATCAGATCCTTATGAAATCTTTTTCTTTTTAATTTTATTCTTGTTTATTTTATTTTACTTCTAACACTTTTTTGACGTAGGGGGTAAGGGTACTTTTGTTCTGAGTTCATGATCAAGTTGAATTCACTCGGTGATGTAGGAAAGTACTGATTGTTTCGATTTACGTCCGTTTCTTTTTGGGGGTTTTTTTTAACGCTAAAACTGTTTATAAAAATTTTTTGTTTTTCAATAATATCATTGATTGAATATGAATTTTTTAAGTGCTTGAAAATTTTTGTAAAGTGCTTGAAAAGTTTTTAATAAGTGCTTATTTTTGATTTAAAGATTTGGCTACGCACCCTGTTTAATATATACACATAACGAATTGTCATCATTTAGGTACTGGTGATTGACAGACTAATTGCAAGTTTTCGTTTTACTGACAGATATGTGCTTAGTATCTTCCTCTAAGTAAGTGGTAAAAAGCTGCACTACCTAGCATGTAAGGTTTCGGTGAGAAAGGGAGAGAGTAAATGGGAGAAGAAACTCGCTTTTTAGACACATGAGGTATTGTTTTCAATGTAGTTATTGAGGGAAACAAAAGACGATGTGACAATTAATTTAGAAGTTATCAAGTTTTTTTTTAACATAAAATAAAATTTTTGAGTTATGTACAATTGATGATGGCTAAAAAATTTCAGAACCTGAAATACACAAGATTTGATGTAATTCATAGAAAAACAAAAGTTTTATTACATAAATCTCTTTTAATATCAATTTTAACATATGTTTGTGAAACGGAACCTGGACCACGCCTTGTACGGATGAGGTTATGTTGGGTACCTTTGAGAGAAAGCTCTTGAGAAGTATTTTTAGAAGAATGCAGAAAAATTTAGAGCTTTATCACTCGTGTAATAAACCTGACATTATTAACTTTATTAAACGACAAAGAATAAAATGGGCAGGCCACGTTATCAAAATGGATGAAGACCGTACCACAAAAAGAATTTTCAATGACAGACCAGTTGGTACACGAAAAAGAGGCAGGTCGAATTTTAGATGGATGGGTGTCCTAGAAAAAGACCCTTTGGTCTTAAAAACGCTAGCAGAAGAAAGATTAGCCTGGAAAAAACATCTTGAGCAGGCCAAGGCCCACTCTGCACTGTTCAACCATTTATGATGATGATGAAAAATTAATAAGTAAAAATTCTACCTATTAATATTCTTGAGTACTTGACCTTACTTTGCCAAAAAGTTGCACAACTTCGACGAAGAAGAGGCGAAAGGGTAAAATTTTTATTTTGTATGAGTAAAATCAGGGCAACTTCTATTTATTCTATCAACTAGGGTTTGATTCCAGCTTGAAAAAATGCAAAGACAACAATACTGAACTTGTCTGGATAGTAACAGGTGAATATCTCTTAAGCTGCAACCTTCCAAGAGGACAGCGGGCACTGCTAATTATTACAGCATCTACAGATAAATTTTCAACTATTTTTTTTCTTTTTAGGAAGAAGATAAACAAATGAAGAAAAAATTATCTGAGACTTTTTGAAGCAGCTCTTGACTTATTTCTAATCAAGGTTGCCACTTCACAGGGAAAACCTGGAAAATACTATTTTAAAATCACCTAAAATAACAGAGAAAATACAAGGAATTCTGAGTTTTTCATTACAAGCTGGGGAAAAACATTGAATTTTATTTCGTATTTTTAAAAAGCTATACCCACTCAATGTGCAATCTATGGGATATTTAAGGATAATATTTCAGCTATTCTAAACTATTTCATTTACTAAAGCATTTGTTTTAAGTATGTTCAGATGTGCCTTTTTTTTTTCTAAGTTTTTCCAGTAATTAAAATTAGTATAGTTAGACCAATATAGCTGTCACAAGAGTACAATAATTGTGCGTTTTCTCTTATTCCATCTAATATGTACAGGGATTTTTTTTTCCAGAATAGAGTGGCAACCCTGCTTGTAAAATAGTTGCTATATCCTAAATTCCTACAGTTGATAAATTACTTGTAGGAATTTATTTCAATTTTTTTAGTATCATTGTATCAAATTTAATTTTCATTAATCATTTAAATTTAAGCAACATAAAATTTTTATGTAGTGTTTTTAACGATCTTTTATTCGTTTGCAAATTTTAGTACACATCTCTATTAGATTAAGCTGAATTTTTACTATAATTTTTCTTTAAATAAATGTCCCGCAGAGGGCTGATCGTTAAGACACAATTTCCAGTAGAACACCGAAGTCAAGCATCACTGGTTGCGGTTGGTGTACGGGTTAGTGACCACTTGGATTGGTCTACGAAGGGACCGAGGGTGCGCGGTATTGGTCCTCATTAAACTGTTCGACGTAAAGTGCTAGACTTCGCTGGTAGAGGTCGTCGTGCTACCAAAGCGGGGGTGCCATACCCTCTGCAGATGATCAAAATTGTAATGGTATGTATTCAGATCATCCTCAGGTATGTTTCCCAGACCATCTCCAATAGCCCATTGTGTAGCTCTAGTGCGACGTAAATAAACTACAACAACAACAATCTTTAAATAGATAATCCCAAGAAACTTAAGCGGTTATGGTATTACCTGATTAAAAACTTCGTTTGCTTCAAAAATATACTAATAGGAAAATAACATTTAACATTTTTCAAGCGCTCCGAAAATAGGTGCCCATCTTCAAGACTTGCCAGACATGAAGGAGAAGAAACAAAATTGATTTGAAATTTAAAAAAAAAAAAACGTTAAGTAGCCGGCTATAAATGGAAAGAAGCAAAACTAAAAAAAAAAAAAAAAATAGCAGTGTGAGAAGAAAAAAATCTGGGTAAAATGCATTCCCACGTGTTATGGAGTGATGGTGAGGAACTAATGGCGTTAACAAAAGAATTGGTATCCATATGAAATACCCTATCACATCAGCTCATCTTGATGCACTGGAATCTTGTTTTATTCGTATGAATGCTGATTCCCTTGTTAACGGCATTAGTTCCTCTCCCTTTCTCCATAGCATTTGGAATTGCATTTTACCCTGATTTGGGGATTTTTCTTGTTCCGTTTTCCATCTTTTTTCTTTTCTCTCTCGCATACTATGGTTTTTCTAGTTTTGTTTCTCACCTTTATTTTTCCATTTTTCGTTGGCTAGTCTTAAAAAATGGGCGCCTATTTTTGAAAAAATTGGAAGTTTTTAATTAAGTCTTTGTCTTGTCTGACGTTGCAAATAAGTTTGGATTTTTGAAGACACGCTGCAGATTGTGCATGAGGAGCGATGCAATCTAATATTGTGATTATTTTGACTGTTTTCAGCGTTCAACGTAAGCACTTAGGATTACTTAATTTGTGATTTGTTTGAGCAATGATTACGTAAAACACTAAAATCATTTAGTTTTTAAATTGTTTTTAAAAGATAAAATATATATATATATATATGGCGTTGCGACTTCGAAAAAATGTAAAACACTGTTTTAAGCTAGATATCTGACAAATTTAACTGGAAAACTTGGTTATTTGACTTCCCCACATTTTATGAGAACAGACTGTCCCGCATTGTTGCTGTAAATGTTATTTTATACTTCTTTTATAGTCTTTCTCAATTAGTCGCTCCTTCTGCCGGCGAACTTTGTAACTCATTTTTAAACTTGGTGAGAATAAATATCTTGTTTCCTAAGCAGATCCTGCTTTTCTATTTCTTTTTATTTCTCTTAAAGCTTCAAATCATCGATTACCCGGTAGTTCAGAACTAATTTTTAAAAATAGTTACATGGCATACTTTTGATTGTTTCAAATCATCGATTACCCCGTAGTTCTGAACTAATTTCTAAAAATAGTTACATAGCATAGTTTTGATAATTTCAAATCATCGATTACCCGGTAGTTCAGAACTAAACTTTAGAAATAGTTAGTTACATGGCATAGTTTTCGATTACCCGGTTCCGAACTAATTTTTAAAAATAGTTACTCATATGGCATAGTTTTGATAGCTCCAAATCTTCGATTACCCGGTAGTTCTGAACTATTTTATAAAATAGTTACTTGCATGGCATAGTTTTGATAGCCAATTGTAGAAAATATTTTGAAATATTGTTTTTCGCACAAGCAAAGTTAATCTACATATTATTTGTTAATAACAGCAACAATCTGAAAAGGTTAATTCATCTTGAATAAGAATAATTTTGGAAGTTATAAATTTTTTATGAGTTATAAATTTTCAGATGAAGCAGCTGTATGATTTATTTATTTTATTTTTAGTAAACTCTAGTATTAGTACTAATGTAATATTGCCCTTTATGTGGAGCGTTAAGAGTAGAAGTGAAACAAGTCAAGCAAATAAGTTTTAAGTGGCAGATATAAATGTTTTTACGACACACTGAACCATAAGGAGATGTTTACACTATGCGCAAACTTTGTAAGTGCTGTCTGAATATAATGCAGGAAGCCCTGAAAGATTTTTGAATAAGAATTAAAATGGAATGTATCCAAATTGATTGTAATTTGACTTGTACACTGAACACGCCAATTAGAGCAATGGTAAGTTAATTTCTTTCTTTTTTTTTAACACTTATGTATGAATTTTGTTATATCGATGGTTGCATATTTATTCTATGAATGTTCTTTATGTACACTATTTCGATTCCTAAATTTAATATAAAATAATAACATTGAGATAAAAACGAAATAAATTATTTTGGTTATATATACTAACTGAAAAAAAAGCTATGTACTGAAAAGCAAAATTAGTGGAGCAATGGTTCTAATTCGTTTTGGAGAAAAGTTTAAAATCTCAATTCTATTATTAGCGCCAATGCTGCTTAATTAATTTTGCTAATAGATACTAATTTATTTTATTTTCTAACCGTCGTTGAACAGCCGACCCAATTTTGAGTTTACAACTACCAATGTTCAACTCCGTAGCCTTGTCATTTAGAACCTAATCCAGAAAAAAAAGGAAACTCCTGGATCAGGTATTGGGAGAAATGTGCCTTCGTGGAGTACTTTTTGATGGAATTAACCCGCATTTCCATTATAAAGAGAGGAAAACTTCCCACGGTTAGCCTGACGGCTAGAGACTCTAACCCATGATCCGTCTACCACTGAGGATATTTTTACGTCAGCACTGTCGTCGGTGCGAGCCGGGTGCGGAAATCGTATCGACCAGCCATCGCTGGAGTTCGAACCTGGCTGACCTCATTAGCGGGCTAACGCCCTATTCCCTGTTCCACCATAGCTCTAGTAGATGCTAATTCAAATAAAAAAAATAAACTATAACCCAAAAAACAAAATCAATTAAGAATAGTTCTAATTAGCTTAGAAGAATATTGATAACAGAATGTCTCCTGAAGTAAAAAACGGACTCCGTCTGCAAATACAGCTGTCTATGGGCTGAAAAGATTTATTAAATCTAGATTTCTTTCTAAAAAAACAAAGTTCTTAATTTACAAAACTCTTGTCATGTCGGTCTTGACATATGCTAATGAAGCTTGCACCTAGGCGTTTTAGTAACTGAAGGTGATTGTATCATTTCTTTAGTTAGACTGAAGGCGGCGCAAATATCAGATACTTAATTCTTCGTTTACTTCGAATTATTTAATCAGCATCGGTGATGGATATCTCTATGTTTACTTTAAATTAGTAGTGGTAGTGGTTCGTCCTAAACAGTGCTTGTCATAAACAGCCACCATCCAACCATAAATATTCGCATTGAGTTCGACTTCTGTCACCAAAAGAAAACCGTAATCAGGAATTGTTCTACTGTAGTGGTTTCAATTATAAGCACATTACATTCGCTAGAAATATTCTTAGGCGTCCATCAGTTATACGCAATCTAGTGTTTTTTTATATATATAAGTGTTATCATTCTCAGGTCTATGGTCAACTTTGTAGTTTAGAGTAAAGAGTGGTCTTATGCTTTGTAGAATAAGAAAAGACATGATGGACATTTGGGTCCCACGACTAAGCGGACAGACATTTATATCTTAAACATTGCTATCTAGACAAGTGAGGCATTGTTTCCCATGTTCTCTTTACGTTAAAATGAGATCAAACCTTAATTTAATAGTTTACAAAATGTCAAGTTTTTAATGTATGAGAAGTACAGTTTTATACTCGTACATCTTTGCGCGTCTGAGATTGCTTTCATGTCATGTGAAATACTGTATTTTTTCCTCTGTATTTTTTGTACAATGTTGATGGAACTAGTTTTAAAAAAATTTCATGTACAAAAAGTACAGTTTTGCTCTTATACCTATTTATGCGTCTGACATTTCTAAATAAACAAGCGGCGTGTTAGGAACTATACTATGTTTTCCTCTGAATCGAATGAATTTCAAACTATTGGTTCAATTGAAGTGGCTTTCAAGTTATACAAGCTATTTAAATACCATGGGTACAAAGTACAATTTCAGCTTATATTTATTTATGCATCTTAACTAAATGGAGTATTATTTCTTACGTACATTTAATTGGCTAAATATCCAGTAAAATCAAAATTAAGTCAACAGATCCAATAGTTTAAAAGAAGGGAGTGTTTTACGTATGAAAATAATTATGGTTTCACTTATACCCTTTCACGCAAAAAAAACTCTGAAAATTAGTTTTATGCACCTAATTTATTCGAAATTTTGGACCTAATTGCAAATTATAATAGATCAAAATTTATTGTAATTAGTTTTATGGACCAAATGTTAATAAATTTTGATTTTAATGCCTTTTGCGCAAAAAAAGGAAACGAAAACAATATATAATATTTCACTTGTCTGAATTGCAATACCACACGTGTAAATACTACAAAAATGTGATACATAAAACTTTAATAACTTCTAAACTCTCAATCCTATCGATTCGGAATTTATTTTACACAATTTAATGGAAACAACACCTCATTTGTCTAGTTACAATTGACGATTGAAATGGGCAACAGGTGGCGTAGAGCAGAACTCTCTACCTATCCCAACACTTTACATGCTTTCACTCTTAGCGTGTGGAGAGTCACAGGAGAAGAAAGTACGTTAATTTCTAAAGAAAGTGTAGTGGAAATTTAAAATAATATTTTTGACAGTTAGATGCGAAAAATATTAAGAAAGGAGTAAATATCAATGTACATTCATATACAACTAAGAAAAAGAGGAAAGGAAAGGGGAGGGTTAAAACATGGAACCGGTCTTCTCCCCAGATGGCGATGTGATCGTAAATGTTGAAGTTTCTCCACCTCTCCTGTCACAGATCCCTCAAGTCAACTATTGTTCTTATTCTCTGCAAGACAAAGTGAAACCACTTACATTTCCACTTACTGCTGTCACAGCCCACAGGAAAAGGTTTCTTAATCCACTGGTCGAAGCGTCGTATTAAAAATAAAATATTAATGGAATTATGACACTTTTCGTTTATTATTGAATAAAATGAAATATTTTACCGACCATGGAATGTTTACAATTTAAGAAGTAATATTTAATTCTAAAAATGATAAAGGCGTTTTTTTTTTAAATTAAAGTGTGATCAATAAATTAAATATTTGTCAGCTTCAAATTAAATTATAACTTTAATTCATTATAATAGTAAATTGGCTATGTTTATTTAATTTTTTTATACAACATTACAATCACTGTTAATAGCAAAAATACACATGGGATTTAATTGTTAAAAACTACGATGATTCAATCCTAAAATCTACAATAATTAAATCTACTTTGCCGTCTTCACTCATTTTTTTATGAACATGTGTGGTGGCACTGCTTGATTTCAGATGCTATCAAGGGTGCCCATTTTTAATTTCCCATTTTTTACTACAGTAGTAACCATGGCAACATAGTTGTGAAGGATGAAGAGGAGGTTCGGCTTTGATAGCAGGCAGAGCTGGGAGGTGCTGGCAGCATGTTGCGTCATCAAGTTCATGTCTTTCGGCCTGACAGAGGTCTCCGGTATACTGATGGTTTCCACTATGATCAGATATGACACAACCAGGGAGGCAGCATCATTTCCGTACACTCTATTATACAGCATTAGAAATGGAACTGGTAATATGATCTTATTCCTTATTATATTAATAAAGTGATTAATGGTTCGCAAAGCTTTCCAGTCAGAGAACTGCCAGGATGGACCACAGTGTGGCGGACAATTGACGTCGCCTCTCTGTGGGCACTGGACTCCGACCTTCTTTCCTCTTTTGCCATCCGACGTCGTTCGTTTTGATATTTGGCTTGCGTGACTCGGGGCCTTGCTCCGAGTTTCCGGGGCTCTCGGGCTGAGCTGGGTTGCTGTAGCTTCGATGAGACATTAGGACTTTGCGTATGGGCCTGGGTCGCTCTATTTCACTCCTTATTACAACAAAGACAGTAACAAAAGATAGTTGGTAGCAAAATCTTATTCTTTATTGCGATTATTTATAACACTGAGGGTGTTATACAAAGTGTCCCAGGATTAATGGAACAAACTTTATGGGGTAAGGAATATCACAAGGATTCAGAATTGCATAGCGACCCCTTGTCAAAAACGTCGCGAGAATATAGTATGGCACGTACATAAAACAAAGATACTGAGATGATCTGATATATTTCTTGGTCAAAGATATGTGAAAGTGCCACAAAAGATGTTCAAAGTTTCCATAATTGCTAACGATGCATGCGTTACACCGTCGGACCATACATTGGCGGACTCACTCGCATATACCTGTATTTTCTTGGATATAATACAGGAGCACACACTTTTTTTGCAACCTGATCCATTGCGAAATCAGCAGGTGTTGCTTACGCAGCACTTTTCAGCACACCCGAAAGAAAGAAATCTATGCTACTTAAACCAAGAGTGCGTGGTAACCAGAGAACCGGTTTACATCCCCCCCCCATCCATCTTGTGAACAACTACGACACCTATCTGCGAACAAAGACATTTCCGACCATGGGTTGCTTTGCAAATCTGAATCCTTTGGGATGCCTCCGACCTCCCCTTAAAGTTTCTCCCAATAAACCGGGATCACCCTGTACATTGAGGTGACAAAAGTAGTGGAATAGAAATATGCAAATATGCAGATAGCTGTAAATAGCATACAAAATGTATATATAGAGGGGATAGTGCACTGACTGGATTTTTGAGAATGTTTTTGACGTACGTATAACCGCAAGACGAAAATTAACAGACTTAGAACGTGGAAATGGTGATTGGATCTAGACTCATGGGGCATTCTATTTTCGGAAATTGTGAGGGAATTCAACCTTCCTAGATCTACAGAGTTAAGAGTGTGTCGAGAATACTAGGCATAATTGCTCAACCTTGGGCAATGTAGTGACCAACCACCTGCCTGCACTTAATAACCGAGACCACCGACGTGAGCTTAAAATGGTCAGTGTTAACGAACAAGAAACATTGCGTGAAATAACCGCAAACATCAATGAGGGACGTGCGATGGACGTGTCCGTTTGGACAGTAAGGCGAAATTCGACTGTAATGGGTTATGGCAGCAAGAGACCGACTCGAGTGCCTTGACTAAAACCACGACATCGTGTTCAGCGCCTTCTCCTGGGTTTCTGACCTTATTAACTTAGATGACTAGAAAACTAGTTTAATCAGTTGACTTATGATTTCAGCTGGTCAAAGCTAATAGTATGAGCTGCATATAATGTATTGCTTTTTTTCAGAAAATTTTTTTACTGAAATAAAATTGCCTGTGAAATCTTTGGAAAATTGAAAAATTATATTGTTGGATTTTAAGTAGATACTTTCAACCAATACAGAGAAAATGACACCGTAATTTCAGAATATTATGAATAGAATGAATTATTTGTTAATTTTTTATAGGTTCTGTTACAGTTTATATTTCTTACAGAATTATTTTTATTATTTCATAAACAAAATAAAGAATTACGACGTGAATGGAAACCACGAGATGGCTTGCTTAAAAAAGGTGTAGTCAAGCCGATACTTTCAAATTGAAAGTTGGAAACCCAAGTCAAAACTTTTGATGGTTTTCCCTTGATTGGACCATCATAATTTTGATGATAACCATCAATAATTCCATCATAAACCATTATATTTTTTGATGACAGCAAACATAAGTAACCATTACCCCAATGTAGGAATTCAGACTGATTTGTGCTGGTCCATCATAAGAATATCAACTTGTTTTGATGGTTTCTTCATGTTGCATCATCAGTAATTTCCATCTAAGTTTCTTAGAAATCAAATGTTGAAACGATCATGAACCACCATCATCCCAATGTAGGAATTCGGACTGATTTTTGATGGGCTAACATTAAAAAAAATGTTTTTTTAGTGGTACATTCCTGAGAACCAGCGAGAACTTCCATTAAACCATCATGAAAATGTATAGTTGGAACCATCATGGATGATCATATATTGTAGATCCATGAGAGTCAAACTTCTCTTGATGATTAACCATCATAGTATTTAGGTAGCATTTTCCATCATGGAATGATGAAAGTTTGATGGCATATCAAAAACCGTGAACGCATTATGGAAAATGTCGAATGATGGCGATTATCAAATGATATTGGTCCATCATGAATCACACTGAAAACAACATAAACCATCAAAATGTTTTGATGGAACCATCAAGAATTTTTACTAGTTAATATTCACTGTGCTTTCCCGTAGTTTCTTGTAACAAGCATTGCTCATCATTTTTATTTATCATTCCTCTTTTTTTTTTATTTAAGGTCCTTTAATTGCATATATTGGACAGATTATAGGAATTCGATCAGCGACGCTGTTAGGATGCGTCATTTCTTCGATCGCTGTTGGATCCTGTTTCTTTGCTGAAAATATTCTTGAAGTTACGATAGCCTGGGGAGTCATTTTTGGTATGTTATAAAAGTTAATATTTTGTTGTAGTAATGCGTAATGGATGGTATTTTCAATATAAATGTAAACAACAACAATCTCGAGCTCTTGACCTGCTCTACTTCTAGTTAGAAAGTATACAGCTGCTTACTACAGCTTATTTTGCGAGGCAATAGTTTCAAATAGTTAATTTTGTTTTTAATAAAAGAAAGAAATTACATAATTTCTGAACTTAGTATATAATTCGTAGGATATTATCATATGAGATTGTTGTAGTACATTTACGTCGCATTAGAGCTGCACAATGGGCTATTGGCGACCCTGAAAATGATCCGAAAACATGCGATCACAATTTTGATCCTCTGCAGAGGGGATGGCACCCCCGCTTCGGTAGCCCGACGACCTGCACGCGAAGTCGAGCACTTTTCGGTAGAACAGTTTAACGAGGACCCATACCGCACACACTCGGTCCCTAAGCAGACTGATCCAAGTGGTCACCCACCCGCACACTGACCGCAGCCAGTGATGCTTGATCTACTGGGAACCGTGTCTTAACGATCATATGAGATAATATAAGATATTATCATATAATATATTATGAGATAATTTCATAAGATATTAATGAAATAATTCTTGTGAGTTTGAAGTGAAAGTTTGTTTTAGTTATTTATAGATGGATTGTTAAAAAAAGGTGGCATGGTTTTTACTGTTTGTTCTTTGTTCAGGCCGTGCACCTATTATACGTTAGTATTAGAATATAGTTTGAGCAGCGAGATTTCATTTTACAAATTATTATTGCGTTTAAATTTCGAAGTTCTCCCAAAATATTTGATCCAGGAGTTCCCCTATCTTCTGGATTGGGTTCAAAATTACAAGGCTACGAAAATGAACATTAGTAGTCCTAAACCCAAAATTTGGTCAGCGGTTCAACGATGGTTGTAAAGTAAAATAATGGGATGTGGTTCTTTTGAGTTTTTCATGGATACCCATGTGCTATGAACAGTACAATGAATAATATACAAATCTAAAGAAATTGTAAGCATAGAAAATTATTATAGAACCTAATACACAAAAAATAAGTAATTTGGATGTCTCTCTGAGTATTATTAATTACAAACAAGTTTTGTTCTGCCCAAACAAAAGCAAATTAAAATATAATATTCATAAATCTGTATATGAACTAAATGACAATTGTTTTGCAACTTAAACTGAAAATAATACTAATGATTAAGCAAAGAAACTAAACTGGGAACATACTAGAAACAAGAACAGAGTAAGAACAAGTACACAGTAAGAACAAGAACACAGTTAGAACAAGAACATAGTAGTACTTATAAACAAAGAAGAAACTGACAGATTGAAACTTTTAGAAAATGAGATACTATTGAAAATTAATGATTTGTACTTAAAAGAAACTCATAAACTTAGAAAACTAGAACTCAAAATCAGTGATTTTGATTTAAAACATTTAAATAAAAAAAATGCAGAAGTGGTTCTTGAAATTTTAATGAACAATTCTGAAGTATTTTTAAAATCTTATTAGACTTTTGGATTCCACTAATGCAGTAGTGCTTGAATTTAATCTTTTGCATCAGTTTCTTATTCAAATTGAACTGACCTTATTCCAAACATTACTAAAGGCTTTTGCTAAAAACGAAATTCAGAGCTCATTAGATTCTGGGATAATTGAGTCGTCATGATATAGTTATTATTGTCCTATAATATTTGCAAGAAAGAAACCTGTTTGTCTGTGATCCTAACCTACAAAAAATTTAGAATTGTTATTGTTTATAGACTGTGGAACTCGGCTACTGAAACTTTTGAAATCTGTCTTCCTAAAGTTAACTACATTTTACATAACATTTCTGATAAATCTTCTAATTTAGTTTTGGATTTAAAAAGTGCTTTTTTACAATTAAAATTAAAAGAACCGTTTAAAGCTAAACTAGCATTTTGTTGTGAGTTATGAAACTTTCAGCGCACACGTATACCCTTTGGATCTCACAATAGTACTTCATTCTTTCAAAATCTTATTTCTAAATGTTTAGATGATATTAAGAGATCTAATTTGCAATATTTTTTGGATGACATAGTAGTTGCTGCATACCCTATTGAAAAGATGTTGCAGTTTTTGACAGGTTAAAATTTTTTAACTTAACTTTAGATTGAGCTAAGATTCTGAAATGCAAATCTGAGACTACATATTTGGGTTTTAATTTACATTGTAATGGTTTAGCTTCTGTGCCTGAGAAAGTTAAAAAGATAGTTAATTTTCCTGTTTTCAAAGATACTAATCAGGTAATTGGGTGCAATAAATTATTTTCGCCGTTTAATTCATAATTTTTCTGAAATAATTAAACCAATTGTTTTAATTTAGCAACAAAAAAGAATGTTGCCAACGTTTGAAGCAACAGAGCAATTACTGTTGAACCTACCTTTAAAAAACATTAAAGATGAGGAAAAATTTTATTTAGTAACTGATGCTTCCAGTAATTCCAAATAATCTCCTTTTTTGTTGCAGGTATCGGATTTGCCCTTGAAAGCCTTCTACTAAATGCAATTCTAATTGAACATTTTAAAAATAAACTTTCACTTGCGATTGGAATAACGACGAATGGTGCCATTTTCGGCACCATTTGTTTCGCCCCCTTTATAGACTACATTACAAACTATTGCGGACTATCAGGTGCTTTTCTTTTGATTTCTGCAGTGATTCTACATGCTCTTCCTGCTGCCATTTTCATACTGCTCAACCGACCTGACACAAGTCAACAATCAATGATCAATCTTACGAATTCGGAAATGCAATGCGTTTGTGGGGACAAAAGCAGCGCCATTTTAAATACCGGAAATCGAAAGATGAGCGTTGAATTTGTAGATTACTTTCGAAAGAAGTCGCCAAGTTTGAGTTCTGCCCGGACTGGTCACACAAATGATGATTCTAAGTCTATTAAGAGCATTTATTCGTCAAACTTCATTAAGAAAGAAATGCCAGTGAGCGAAGCATACATGCAATACGATAATGATGCTTGTATTTTCAACGAACCAAATCAATGGACGGAAATTCCGCTAAATTCCGCAACATTATCATCAAATATTCCTAATGACAATGAGAATGCTCCGATTGTTGTATGTCAGAGATGTGATTCTCTGGGGTCGAAACTAAGAAAGTTCTCTACTCAAATAGAAGCTCTGCCAAGTAAAATCGCCAATAAGTTAAACTCAAACCAAGTAATGATACGCTTATTTAAGGATCCAATTTATTGGCTAATTTTATTAGCGGGTGGCTTGCATTATTTCACTCTACCAGCTTGGTTTACTCTGCTAGTAGACTATGCAATAGACATAGGCTTAGATCCTATGTATTCTAAGTATATTGTGATGTACAACATGATTGTGGAATGTTTTGGGTGCCTCTTGCTTGGCTGGGTGGCTGATTTAGGTTATGTGTCAAGCAACGGATTTGCAGCCCTGTGCTTTTTAGGTGAAAGTTTGGCAATGGTTGTCATCATTTGGGCTAACAACATCGCTTTATTAGCTTTGGTGATTGTCCTATTCCAATGGTCTCAGACTGGCTTGACGTTAATTTATCCAGCTGTTGCCAAAGACTCTATGGAAAAGACGCTTCAGTCATCGGCCATCGCATCCATGTTTTTGCTAGCTGCACCACTCGATTTATTGATTTCTCCTCTAGTCGGTAAGTTTATATACACATTGCTGACTATAAACAGTATGTTCGTTTCAGTTGATTATAATCCACTGATTTGGACCTTTAAATTGATTGAGTTATTTATTTCAAATAGTTTTATTCTGTAGGTATAAGTTTCATAAGCGATTGAAATCAGTTTATTTGTATTAATCAAGTTATTCTAAATTTGTTGACGTTGTATACCGGATAAATCGATAAAGTTGATTATAATCCAATGATTTGGATTTTCATTCGAGCCATTTTTGTAAATGATTCCATTTTATTGATATAAGTTAATCAAGCTTTTCAAATCTGCTGAATAAGATTAATCAAGTGATTTATAATTATAAACGTAAGCTATTGAAAAATTGATATTATAATCCATTTATTTCTTTAAAATCAGTTAAGAAATTTTTTCAAGTCATCCTTTCCTGTTGTAAGTTTATCAAGTAATTAAAATCTTTTGATTTGTATTAATCAAGTGATTTTATTTTAATGATTTTATATTTTGAATAATTATTTTATATTGGTTAAGTTTATCCATCAATTCTGACCATTTATTTTAATTCACTTAAGCCTTTAAAAATATTATTTCATTATATTGATACCAAAAATTAAATTAATTATTTCCCAAAAATTAAATCATTAATTTAATTTTTTACCAAAAATTTAACTATTAATTTAATTATTCACCAAAAATTAAATTATTAAATTAATTATTGACCAAAAATTAAATTATTAGATTATTATTTACCAAAAATTAAACTATTAGATTAATTATTTCCCAAAAATTAAATCATTAAGTTAATTTCTTACCAAAAATTAAACTATTAATTTAATTATTCACCAAAAATTAAACTATTAAATTAATTATTTACCGAAAATTAAATTATTAAATTAATTATTGACCAAAAACTAAATTATTAGATTATTATTTACCAAAAATTAAACTATTAGATTAATTATTTACCAAAAATTAAATTTATTATTTCCCAAAAATTAAATTACTAAATTAATTATTTACCAAAAATTAAATTACTAAATTAATTATTTACCTAAAATTAAATTATTAAATTAATTATTTACCAAAAACTAAATTATAAAATTTTTTATTTACCAGAAATTAAATAAATTCTATAAAATTTCAGGTTTCTTCCGTGACAAGCATGGATCCTATACTGGGGTATATCTAACTCTTGCGTCTGCAGCTATCTTAGGAGGAATAGTTCAGATTTGTGTCTTGAAACTTGTGAATCGAAGAAATCAACACAACATCGCATAAAAAAAAAAAATTCTTTCTTTTAACTTCATAATCCAATAATGATTACGGATGGTTGACTGAATGTAAATAATAACAAGCTTCCTAAAACCGAAATAAATTTAGAAAACTACCAATGTATTTTTCCGCTTATGTTATGCATAACAGGTGATGTATTAACAGGCTTAATATTCTAGGAAGTTTTATTATTGTAATTTGCAATTAAATTTACTCGTAATTTTATCATTCATAAGAGTTTCCTGTAATTTATAAATTCTAACTGATTGTGAGTCAAAAATAAATTTAAGAAAATTAATATCAAAACATAAATAAAGTGCAAAGTTTGCCATGTTTTGAGTGTTATCCCTTATTTGGTTATATCTGTGCAAAATATAACCGTTTGATATTTTTGGGGTTGCATCATGGCATGCTCACGAAGTCTTAATTCATTTGTTGTTCGTTTCGTTGAAAGTTAGATTGAAAAAACGTGTTATATTGATAACACTACAAGTATACTAATATTGAATGGCGCGCTTTTTCAAGTTTAGGCTTAAAAATTAATCGGAAGTAGTAACCCGAAAGTCTTACGACGAATTGTTACCCCTAGCACCATCTGTGCTAAGCTTTACATGGCAAACCATCCATGAAACCTGCTTCAAAGTACTCTTTAGCTTTGACTCAAAGTAAGCTTTGACTCACTCTTTAACACACACGTTACATTTAAAACAGAATTTTATTTTCTTGGCTGACTCACAATAAGGAAAAAATTCTTCTACCAGTGTTTTACATTTGCAGAAAAGATCTACTGTCGTTTTATTTGCCCTAAAACTATAACGAAGAAATGAATCCTAACTGTTGATATTTTTTCTTTGATTGAAACTTTATAACTTTTATAATAGTAACTTCATAACTTTGAAAATTTTTAATAATCTAAACATCTATTGGCTTTCATTGGCTACAACTTGAACAAATATTTCCTAACAGTATATCTACATTTGTAACAGCAATTTTATTATTACATGAATCGTAACAAGAAACTAAATCTTTTGGCAGTGCTTTTCATTTGCAGAATTGTATCGGAAAAGATGTAATGTCGTTTTTCATTTGTGCTAAACTATAAAGAAGTAACGGATCCTAAGCGCTGATTTTTTTATTTTAATGTAAAAGAGAATTTTTTTCATCTAGAACTTTTTTCATTAGTTGAAATGAAACAGAAGAAATTTGCATTATTAAGCAGTTGCTACAAATATACATGTAGAATGCTTGCGAACGAGAACCAAGTGCACCAAACAATATGAATTTTCGTCATCATTGTATTTATTTTTCTAACTCAAAAATGTTTAGATATTGCCTAGGGTAATCTTTCATAGCGCAACCGAATTGCTATTTTATAACATATGTTTTTGAAAGTATTAATAAGTTAGTTTCGTAGCAGTTCGAAATATATGAGAGTAGATGCTGGTAAAAACATCTTGACAAATTCAGTGCAACTGTAAGTATAAGAATTTTTTGCTGGCAACAAAAAATTGGCATTTTTAATACAATTACAAGTGAAAAGTGCAAGTGAATATTCCTGGCAACAAAAGACCTTGACATTGTACTACATACATGGTGTAATTGCATGACATGGTACAATTTCAAATGTAAAGATCTTTTTAATGGCAGCAAAACAATTTTTAACAAGGTAAATTAAAATACCCAAGTCAAAATTTTTGATGGTTTTTCACTGATGAACCAACATAATCTTGATGGCAACCATCAATATTTCCATCATGAACCATTACATTTTTGATGGCAATCAACATAAGTAACCATCCAATCAATGTAGGAATTCGGATTGATTTATGATGGTCCAACATAAGAATAGCAACTTGTTTTGATGGTTTTTCATTCGTCATTCGTAGATGGTCGTCACGAATTTCCATCATAATATCTTAGAAATCAAATGTCGGAACGATCATGAACAACCACCATTCCAATGTAGGAATTCGGACTGATTTATGATGGTCCAAAATAAAAATATTGTTCTGATGGTATATTCCTTAGAACAAACAAGAATTCCCATTAAATCATCGTGGGAATGCATAGTTGGAACCATAACGGATCATCAAAGATTGTTGGTCACTGAGAGTCAAACTTCCTTTGATGGTTAACCGTAATAGTATTAAAATAACATTTTCCATCATGGAATGATGGAAGTTTGTTGGCATATCATAAACCCTAATGGAAAATGTTTGATGATGGTGGACCATCATGAATCACGCTGAAACCAACATAAACCACCAAAAAAATTTTATGGGACCATCAAGAATTTTGACTTGGGTATATAAAGATTTTTTTTTTTTTTTTTTTTTTTTTTTTTTTNTTTTTTTTTTTTTTTTTTTGCTAGTTACAAAAAATCTTGGTAAGGTCAACACAACTTCAAGTATAAAAATTGTAACAAGTGTAAAAAAAAAATTTTTTTTTACTGGCACTTTGCATGAAATGTTTCCCCATCTCTAATAAGCCATATCTCACGCATCGCACTATATTGTGAGTGCTATTAGTTACTACTGCATAATCCATTGATGATTGTATGTGATATGAATGTAAAATATTATTCATCACTTTGGACATGGTGATGAGTTTCATTGAATAAAACCAATTTTTCAAATGTATATGTTTCATTCATAGTTCAACACTTTTAAAAAATTTCTGATTTCGTAAATCCTAGGGTAAATTTTGATAATTCTTGACATTAGATTAGAAATGTCGGACGCATGACTTGAGCAATAATTCTAATCCCATTGAAAATCTGAGAAAAAGGGAAATTATTTTTCGTCTTTGAAGTCTACTTTTCTACAGTTTTTAAAATTTTTTATTTTTGTTTTATTATTACCTAGAGCTTTTTTTACGCAACTTTAATACCTGAACCCATGCCTTTTTCAAATGTTTTGAAGCGTTTAACCTTTGATTTAATAATAGTAATATATGAATAACTTGAAATAAAAACAATATAAAAAAAAAATTAAGTCAATACCTACTTAAGTCAACAATTTTTATTTTAGTTAGTTTTTATTAAATTTTTTCTCTTATATAAAACTAAAATTAGTTAATTAAATTTAATGAATGAATTAATATTTGAAAAAACTGTATTAACATCATGTGTCATCCACTACAAGTTTTAAAAAAATGTATTTGGACTTAAATGGATGAATAAAAAGTATTTTATTAAAGATTGAAAATTTGATCAAGATATATAAATATATAGGGAGAGTATGAACTAATAGTAGAGATTGAAAAAAAACGCGTGGTAGCAGATAACTATAAAAGTATAAATTTGGTGACGTGGACCACACGTGCTACCACGTCATGTTCTTTATTGAATATATCTGACCCAGCGAATATAATATAATTGGGTATAATATGAAAAAAACACAACTACTTCGATTTAGTAGGAACAACATATGACGCAATGCTAAACGAATGGAATTTAGTTGTTGTTTATTTAGTTATTGTTATTAGTAGTTGTTGTTATTTGTTTTAGTTGTTGTTGTTTATTTAGTTGTATTTAGTTTCAATAACTTTTCTTTATAATGCAATAAAATCTGGCGAGCAGCTATTTAAACGATCGAACACTTCGTTTGTTTATTTGTGGCTTGAAGTTAGGCTCGCAGAAAATGCCGTTCATGGGTTAAATTTAGTAGGAGCAACACAACTTGTGACGTAGGCTATATTATACCCAATTAAATATTTGAATATGCGAATAAAGCATTTCATTTGTACAAATAGAGCTATAAGTTAGAAGTTATCACTGATGTTATTTTTAAGATATGTGAAAAACTGAATTGCTTATAGTAAAATTTAAAACAATGACTAATGCTTAACCCATCAGAACATTCCATTTCGTTTTTAGCTCATCCCTATTTAATGAATGAATTAATATTTGAAAAAACTATATTAGCATCAAGTGTCATTTACTACCAGTTTAAAAAAAAATGTATTTAAAGTTGAGAGGATGAATAAAAAGTATTTTATTCACGATTGAAAATTAGAACAAGTTATAAGGAGAGTGTGAACTAATAGTAGGAATTGTGTAATCTCAAAAATTGACTTATTTGCCAAAAACGCTAGCACATTCGTCAATTTCATTGTCAAAGGTGTTGTTCGTATTCAACGTATTCATTTAAAAATTAGACCAAAATTTAACTATTTGGTTTCGTTTAGAATAAGAGTTACTTTTGAATATATTCAAATTCTTATACGTTCTTTAGGTTAATGGATAAATTTTGAGGTTTTTGATTTCTCTTCTATTCTCTGACTTTCGTTTACTCTCTTGCAACAAATTAATCACTTTCTGACTAGCTTCCCCGAAAATGTCCTAAAACGTCTTTAGAAAAGGATGTGCACTACGTTTTCTCAAACATTAAAAAAATGTTTAATTTTTAGTTGTTTATTTTTTTTTAATTAATTCATTTATTTAGTAATAAACAACAATTATGCAACTCAAAAACCAAACTAATTTTTCCTGCAATATTCTTTTTATAATATTTGTACTTCAGTTATTTACTAATTAATGAATAAACTACTGAATCAATAAACTAATAGGTTTATTAAAACTGCTGTTCCCTCCATGGATTCATATTCATCGTTGGCACGGATGAGCAGGAGATAAGCGGATTCCTGTGGAATAAAATAAAGAATTTATTAATCCTTGCATTTTATGTAGTTAAGTATTAAAAAAACGGTTAAATTAAATATAAATGTTCTAAATATTGATCGTGTGATGCAGTGTGATTCAGTACAGCAATTAAAAACTAAGAATGGAAGTTGGGCACATCATAAAGATATCTAAGTCAGCTGTTCAACTTAACACGTTCAACTTAACACGTTTTAACCAAACACAGCATATAATTCCACTTAAAAATACTCAGTAAACATTTGCAATCTGTTCTTTAATCAAATTTAACAATAATTTGGTATTCATCAAAAATAAATAAAAAATACAATTTAACAAAGATACATAAATATCACGCCGCACAATACAAACCGCAGTGTTTTTCGTCAGCTAGCTGCTGCCAAATCCGACCAATCTTAGTCAAATTAAAGTTCAGCCAAAAAGAATGAAAACGACACAATATTTTTAATTCTTTGAAAAATAAGAAATGTTAGGAATGTTATTTACATGCCTTATTTACAACAGGGATTTAACCCACTGACAGTTCAGCACGTAAAAAGTCGCATTTTAACCTGCAGTCTTCTCTGCATAGCAAACCCGGTTTTCCCATGTTAACTGATAGGGTAACTGTGTGTAGGGGAGAAACATTCTCCCAATTTTGCCCATTTCCTTAACCGCCAGTGGGTTAATCATGAGTCCATGGAAATCTAGGTCAACAGACGAGGAGCTCAGAAGCGAATCGACAACGAAACCGAGGGTACTTTCAGCATACCACTAGGGCCTAGTTAAGCATATCGTAAAGGTGTAACTTACCACTAAGGCACTAGTTAAGCCTAACATTGTGGTATAACATACCACTAAGGCCTAGTTAAGCCTAACGTGGTGGTGTAACATACCATTAAGGCCTAGTTAAGCCTGACGTGGTGGTCTAACATACCATTAAGGCATAGTTAAGCCTAACGTGGTGGTGTAACATACCATTAAGGCCTAGCTAAGCCTAACGTGGTGGAATAAGATACCGTTAAGGCCCAGCTACGCCTAACGTGGTGGTGTAACATACCATTAAGGCCTAGTTAAGCCTAACGTGGTGGTATATGTTACCATTAAGGCCTAGCTAAGCCTAACGTGGTGGTGTAACATACCAATAAGGCCTAGTTAAGCCTAACGTGGTGGTGTAACATACCACTAAGGCCTAGCTAAGAACTGGTGTTGTAACATACTACTTATACCTTGTTAAGCCTAACTAGGATGTAACATACCATTAAGGCTTAGCTAAACCTAACGTGGTGGTATAAGATACCATTAAGGCATAGCTAAGCCTAACGTGGTGGTGTAACATACCATTAAGGCTTAGTAAAGCCTGACGTGGTGGTGTAACATACCATTAAAGCCTAGCTAAGCCTAACTGGTGTTGTAACATACTACTTATACCCTGTTAAGCCTAACTAGGATGTAACATACCATTAAGGCCTAGCTAAGCCTAACGTGGTGGTGTAACATACCATTAAGGCCTAGCTAAGCATGACGTGGTGGTATAACATACCATTAAGGCCTAGTTAAGCCTAACGTGGCGGTGTAATATACCATTAAAGCCTAGCTAAGCCTAACTGGTGTTGTAACATACTACTTATACCCTGTTAAACCTAACTAGGATGTAACATACCATTAAGGCCTAGCTAAGCCTAACGTGGTGGTATAAGATACCATTAAGGCCTAGCTAAGCCTAACGTGGTGGTGTACCATACCATTAAGGTCTAGTTAAGCCTGACGTGGTGGTGTAACATACTATTAAGGCCCAGCTGAGCCTAACTGGTGTTGTAACATACCATTAAGGCCTAGCTAAGTCTAACTGGTGTTGTAACATACTACTTATACCTTGTTAAGCCTAACTAGGATGTAACATACCCTTACGGCCTAGTTAAGCCTAGCGTGGTGGTATAACATACCATCTAGCCAAGCAAAACGTTGTAGTGTAACATACCATTAAAGCCTAGCTAAGCCTAACTGGTGTTGTAACATACTACTTATACCTTGTTAAGCCTAACTAGGATGTAACATACCATTATGGCCTAGTTAAGCCTAGCGTGGTGGTATAACATACCATTAAGGCCTAGCTAAGCCTAACGTGGTGGTGTACCATACCATTAAGGCCTAGTTAAGCCTGACGTGGTGGTGTAACATACCATTAAGGCCTAGCTAAGCCTATCTTGGTGGTGTAACATACCACCAATATCTTGCTGAGCCTAACTGAGATGTAACAATTCATTGAGGCATAGCTAAGCCTAAATTAAGGGAGCAAAATATTATTAATGGCTAGCTCAGCCTGACTTTAACGATTAACACATCATTAAGACCTATCTGGTTCTAACTTACTTGGAGTAACATATCATTAAAGTATAATTAAGCCTAACGTGGCAGTGTAACGTAACACTAAGGCCTAGCCAATTTACTGGCTTAGTAGTCCTAAGGCTTAGCTAAGAATAACGTGGTGGAGTAACATACCACTAATGCGTAGTTAAGCCTAATTAGGATGTAACATTTCATTGAGGCTTAGCTAAGCCTAACTTAGTGGAGTAAACTATCATTCAGGCCCAGCGTAATCTAACGAGATGAAGTAACGAATCATTGAGGTATAATAAACCATTCTCTTTGAAAATCTTATGAGGGTTCATGACTTTCTTTGGATGAACGGTCCTCTGATTTTGATCTAACTAAGACTGGATCAAGTGGAATAAGACGCGACAACATAATTAAGCCTAACGTGGCGATAAAACTCAACATCAACTTATAAAGCCAAGCCAAATAGAAGATCAAGTAGCATATAATTAGAAAAGGGGCAGTGCAAGTTTATGACGGAATTCGAACCCGGTATCTACTCGCTTCAAAACGTTTAGTGGAAGGTCAATTTTCTTAAATGAAGGCAACATAAACTTTCATTTATTTATTGTTACAAATGCACATGCAGGCTTATGTGCTCATTACAAATACAAATATCGCTTATACGCTTTTGTCAAGGTGAGCTTAACTTAAAGATGGATGTTCATCTCAAAGTTAGTTAAGGGTTACGGTAGCACCCTTTGAATAATTTATTTCCTTCTTCTCTTTATCCTACATAAGATGCGTGATAGTTTAGAAATAACATTTAAAATTAGATAGAATTGAATCTTGCTGTTACTGGTAAGCTTGGCCTAATTTTTAGGTCAGGCTTAGTCTGACATGATGGTGTTTTATATTATTGAGGCCTATGAATGTCTAACCTGAAGGTGTAATAAATCATTTTATTTTATTTTATAACCATCATTGAAAAGCCGACCCAATTTTGAATTTATGACTTCCAATATTCAACTCTATAGCCATGTAATTTTGAACCCAATCTAGAAGACAAGAGAGCTCCTGGATCAAGTATTGGGAGAAATTTGCTTTCGTTGTGAACTTTTTGATGAAACTAACCCATATTTGCGTTACATGGAGAAGAAAACCTCCAACGGTTTAAATTTGCCTACGTTTTGGACATTTTGATGGAANCTAGCTAAGCCTAACGTGGTGGTATAAGTCACCATTAAGGCCTAGCTAAGCCTAACGTGGTGGTATAAGTCACCATTAAGGCCTAGCTAAGCCTAACGTGGAGGTATAACATACCATTAGGGCCTAGTTAAGCCTAACGTGGTGGTATAACATTTCGTTAAGGCCTAGTTAAGCCTAACGTGGTGGTGTAACATACCATTAAGGCCTAGCTAAGCCTAACGGGGTGGTATAAGTCACCATTAAGGCCTAGCTAAGCCTAACGTGGAGGTATAACATACCATTAGGGCCTAGTTAAGCCTAACGTGGTGGTATAACATTTCGTTAAGGCCTAGTTAAGCCTAACGTGGTGGTGTAACATACCATTAAGGCCTAGCTAAGCCTAACTGGTGGTATAAGGTACCATTAAGGCCTAGCTAAGCCTAACTGGTGTTGTAACATACCATTAAGGCCTATTTAAGCCTAACGTGGTGGTGTAACATACCATTAAGGCCTAGTTAAGCCTAGCGTGGTGGTGTAACATACCATTAAGGACAAGCTAAGCCTAACTGGTGTTGTAACATACTACTTAAACCTTGTCAAGCGTAACTAGGATGTAGCATACCATTAAGGCCTAGCTAAGCCTAACGTGGAGGTATAACATACCATTAGGGCCTAGCTAAGCCTAACAGGTGTTGTAACATACTGCTTATACCTTGTTAAGCCTAACTAGGATGTAACAATTCATTGAGGCTTAGCTAAGACTAAGTTAAGGGAGCAAAATATTATTAAAGGCTAGCTCAGCCTGACTTTAACGATTGACACATCATTAAGACCTAGCTTGGCCTAACTTACTTGGAGTAACATATCATTAAAGTATAATTAAGCCTAACGTGGCAATGTAGCGTAACATTAAGGCCTAGCCAACTTACTGGCGTAGAAGACCTAAGCCCTAGCTAAGAATAACGTGGTGGAGTAACATACCACTAATGCCTAGTTAAGCCTAATTAGGATGTAACATTTCATTGAGGTTTAGCTAAGCCTAACTTAGTGGAGTAAACTATCATTAAGGCCAAGCGTAATCTAACGCGATGAAGTAACGTATCATTGAGGTATAATAAACCATTCTGTTTGAAAATCTTATGTAGGTTCATGACTTTCTTTGGATGAACGGTCCTCTGAACTTTATCTAACTAAGACTGGATCAAGTGGAATAAGACGCGACAACATAATGAAGCCTAACGTGGCGATAAAACTCAACATCGACTTATAAAGCCTAGCCAAATAGAAGAAAAAGCAGCATATAATTAGAAAAAGGGCAGTGCAAGTTTATGACGGAATTCGAACCCGATATCTCCTCGCTTCAAAACGTTTATTGGAAGGTCAATTTTCTTAAATGAAGGCAACATAAACTTTCATTTATTTATAGTTACAAATGCATATGCAGGCTTATGTGCTCATTACAAATACAAATATCGCTTATATGCTTTTGTCAAGGTGAACTTAACTTAAAGATGGATGTTCATCACAAAGTTAGTTAAGGGTTACGGTTACATCTTTTGAATAATTTCTTTTCTGCTTCTCTTTATCCTACATACGATGCGTGATAGTTAAGAAATAACATTTAGAATTAGATAGGGTTGAATCTTGTTGTTACTGGTAAGCTTGGCCTAATTTTTAGGTCAGGCTCAGCCTGACATGATGGTGTTTTATATTATTGAGGCCTATGAATGTCTAACCTGACGGTGTAATAAATCATTTTATTTTATTTTATAACCATCATTGAAAAGCCGACCCAATTATGAGTTTATGACTTCCAATATTCAACTCTATAGCCATGTAATTTTGAACCCAATCTAGAAGACAAGAGAGCTCCTGGATCAGGTATTGGGAGAAATTTGCTTTCGTTGTGAACTTTTTGATGAAACTAACCCATATTTGCGTTATATGGAAAGGAAAACCTCCAACGGTTTAAATTTGCCTTCCTTTTGAACATTTTGATGGAACTAGCCCATTTTTGCGTTACATAAAGAGGAAAACCAATAAAATCTCTAACGGTTAGCCTGAAGGCAAGGGGACTCTATCCCATGATCCGTTTACCAATGAGGATATTTTAAGTCAACACTACGGTCGGTGTGAACCGAGTGCGGATTCGTATCGACGAGCAATCTCTGCTATTCGAACCCGATTCACATGATTGGAAGGCGAACGCTCTATCCCCTTAGGCTCTGTTTGTGTGTTCTACTAATTGTTATGAAAACTTTTCTTCTATATAGATATATAAAAGTTCCAATTCAAATGCAGACGAACAATTAGTATAAAATTGAACGTAAGACATCTCCGTCCTTGAATTGTATGCTCAATAATTACAACATGTTTGCTGTACTGATGTCATTATGTATGTCATTACAAAACAACAATGTATGTCATTACAAACGATCTGCATGTCATTATGTCATTATAAAGCACTCTGTATACCCATCGATTGTTTCGAATTTGGAGAGAAAACTTATTTTATTATTATGTATACTTTTTTCTATTTTAAAGATAATTATTAAGCATATTAGTTTTTCGAAAGTTCGAAACGTTAGATTTTTCAAAAATTGCATGCATTTTCAACGTCTACTGTGTCTTTAAAAGTACATTTTAAGTCAGTATCATAATAAATGTGAACATTTTTATAGAACATCGTTTTTATTGTTGAATTTACGTACTTGGTTGCACCTGGTAGTTGAAGAGGATATTGTCGGACTTTTACCGTGTTAGTTGTCAAGCAAATAATCTGTGCAAGAGAAAAGGCTTCGATTGATCTTATTTGATCTGAAATAAAACAAAATAATAATGAGGACAAGTGACATTAACTTTGTAGTTTTTTTTTTACCTGCAAATCAAAATGTTACTTCAGTTTATTATTGCTTTTTCTTACTTCTGTATCATATATTTGTGAAGGATTAATGTTGCAAGCGAAATTTTGACCACTTAAATCTACTGACGAGTAAAATTCATCACCATTTTTATAGTCAAATTAAATTAATGTAATCAAGTTGAACATTAGTAATCGTAAGCCCCAAAATTGTGCCGGCTGTTCAACGACGGTTATAAAATAAAACAAAACGATACTAACGCTCCCTTTTCCTCGATTTTGTCTCGTATTACTATTATTTTCTATCTTGTTAGTTTCATAAATTTTTGGAAATTTTCAAGAAGTTTCTAATAAAATTAATAGTAGTATGAATGTCCGAAATGAATAGTCAATTTTTTTTGAAGTTATACTTCTTATGCGACTTCCAACAACCAACAAGGTTGCGTTAAACGTTTAACGCTAAATTTTTATTGGCCGGAAAATCACGTGGTAGGATCCAGTTTTCCCTCATTCATTTCCATACTGTTTTGGTTCTCACTAGCATAAAAATAATAAAAGTCATAAAAGTATTGTTTTTCTATAAATATTTTTTTAGTTTGTTTTGATACACATATAATTTAATAGGGTAGTATTTTTTATTTTCAAATTTAGTGGATAACAATTGTAAAAAATGAGTGAAAACAATTCCACGAACAATACAATGCGACGGATTTATAAGGTTATGTCAAGGTACGTCTCTTGTGAATATCAATTGATTGTTAGGTTTTCTCTTTTGAAATTACATTATGACGCATTCACATACATTATTAATACAAATACATTTTCCATGGCGAGACGATGAGACAACCACAAGCACTGGTTCAAGAGGTCCACGAGGGAAAAATGCACTATATTACCGTGATTACAGAGCACGGAAGCGAGCGGAGCAGGAAAAAGAGTCGTTGAATAGAACTAGTGATCATTCTACGACTGCTGATTCTTCTACAATTAACGTCGCAGGTTGCGAAGTTTAACTTCTTCCGCGCGGAGGGACTTCACGGACTATTATTTTTTTGTAATTTTTTTTATTACAAAATAAGAGCTATACCTCACCTGAAGTGAAAGGATATCTTCCATTTGTATGCGTGAAGTAAAAACTATCTCCAGATTTTGTTCCATGGAATTGCATCGCGATGATCTCAGCGGCAGTGGGTCCGATATCCAAGCCCGGGATTGGGTTTTCTGTAATTATGCCAACATATGCATCAATGTCAGCCGGGAAACTATAAAAAAATAAAGAAAATTTTATTTCTGCTGCTGTTTTAATCGATGGAGTAGCTGACTTCTCTTACTTGTTTGAAGCAAAAATGAACACTGTAAAAAATTTTCGTGTATCTGAACACAAAAATTTGTGGCAACTACTTTACACCAAATTGGTGTTCTACTACACCAAAACCCAAGGATAGTTCCTGGAGCAGTGAAACATCGAGAACAGTGGTTACCAACTGGCGACCCTTTTTTGTGTCCCTCGAACTAAAATATATTAGTTGTCATCTTTTTGCTTGTTGTCAATTTTCGTAGCAAATCTGTATGGGTTTAAAATACTTTTCTTTCGTTGAAAAAAAAACCTAATTTCTTCGTTTCTATGAAATTTAACATACCAACGGTGCAAAAAAAATTTTTTTTTATCAGGTAAAAATCTACTTCTTATTTTAATTTGCAATTTAATACTTTTATTTTGTACAACTTGATAAAAATCTGACAGTAATATTTAATGTTCCTCCAAGCATAAAATTGTCGTATATAAAATTTTTATTAAGTTGCTGCCCGCCATTTGACTGGTGTTTTCAATTGTGGCCCCCGGCCTAGTGTAAGTTGGAAACCCCTGATCTAGAAGGTTCATTTACACTATTAGTGTTAAATAATTGACACCATACACCATGTTTGTTTTCTTATAAACATTAAAATTTATAATTGCATCGAGATATGATACATGTAAGAATCAGTAAAGTTATTTTTACGATACTTTATATAGTAAGAATATACTCAATGAAGATTTGATGATGATCGAAGAATTTATCTATTAGATATTTTAAATTTTTTCGATTATTTTACTTTATTTTTTATTAATTTAGTTGAGAATTTTTTTGACTCTTTATGACTTTTTATGACTCTTTTCTTTTTAATTTACAGAGATAATTCAAACGTCAAATGAGAGCTCAAAAAGAAACTTATTCACTTATTTAAAACTTATTAAACAATCTTTAATTTTTTAAGATGTTTTTATTTACTTTTTTTGAAAAAAAGTAGATTCGTGGACTTAGTAAAAGACATTGCCTCATGGCTATTTGTTTGAAAGACCCCGAAATCGACCCCCGACACATTTTATAAAAAAATGTGTATAAATTGTGCGGAATGTGTTACATCAATAATACCAACCTTCATCTAGCATAAGGAACAAGATTGAATCGAGTTAGCATGTTATACATACTAATAAATTGATATTTATTAATGAATCGAGTTAGCATGTTTTACATTCTTATGAATTGATACTTATTAATCGTAGTGGTAGTTACTCCACAATACTCCCCTACCAGAATTTTATCTGGGATAGAATTGGATGGACCGATACCACTCGTTGCCGTATTTGCGAAAGACCAGAAGAGCTGCATCAAGTTCACTAAGGTTTGAGCGTTTGTCGTGAGAGTTGTATTAAGTTCACTGTTGTGTGTGTGGTCCCTCCTAAGTTGTTATTAGCAGTCGAGTGTATAACTGAGACTGAGAAGAGACGCGCGAGGAGGACGATGACACAGTCACAAATATCAAGTCAACTGTTTAACATAGACGACCATTCATCGAAGTCATATCATGGCGAATACCACTAGTAACCTAATTTGCGAAAGATCGGGAGAGCTGTATTAAGTTCACGGTTGTGTGTGTGGACTCTCCGAAGTTGTTATTAACAGTCGAGTGTAATACTGAGAAGCGATGAGCGAGCAGGACGGTGACACAGTCACAAATAGCAAGTTAACTGTTTAACGTGGACCATTCACCGAAGAGGACGAATCATATCACGTCCGCGGTTGTAGGGAGAGGAATCATCAACCACATTCATCTATCAATACAGGTACCTCAAGACTGAATCAAGTTAGCATGTCTTATATACTAGTCAATTGTTGTTTAATAATCGTAGTGGTAGTTACGCCACAAAATCAATGAAAAAAAAAGTTTCTCTCACTCATAGATATCCTCCAGAAAATAAATATCTTGAGAAGTATTTGTCAGATCTTCAAAATTATTGATTTCTGCATTGGAGAAATGTTTCAAAAATTGATGATACGGTTGCAGTCCAAGATCTCTGCCCCTCTGAACATTCATAGACGTTTGGTCCATACCATAAGTGGCACCTGGCACCCTGCAATTTTAAAATTAAATGCCAATTATATTCTTTGTAAATAGAATACACGTTTCAAAGTTATGCGATTTCAGTACACTTTTCCCCGCTTTGACCGCAAAGCAGTAAATTTCATTAAGTTGGAATATATTGGCAAGGAGAATAAGCAACGAAACCATACTAACAGAGAGAGGCGTATAGTTTGTTTAAAATAAGAACTCCCCGAAGCATTCGTTTGGAGCTGTGGTGGTAACTATGATAACGAGGCATAACTATTTCAAGTAGGGGTGTGGGGTCATTGTTTAGGACAGGCTTTGGCCCGGGTCGGCGACAGAAAGGTAATCTTTTTCTTAGGTCTATTGTGCTAGCGCTAGAGTAAGGAGGAGCTACCCTCCGTGAAATGCGTTATTCTTGTTTCCATAGCAGCAGAATCAGACTTTGTGGTGAGGGGAGTTCTTACCGTAGACGAACTATAACTTTGTGACAAAAATTCCGTCTTCAAATAGTATAACCACAGTCCAAGTCGCAATTTCTCGCAGGTATTGCGAACTTGCATTTTATTCAGGGTGTTCAGTAAGAACATTTAATTCATCATTGTAGAATCATTGTCAAGAATCTACTCAAAAGACAATTCACATGAGGGGTCACAAATAATATTAAAGCAAGGAAAAAAACAAAAGCGATATCGAAATCTGGTTTTATCACTAATGGGAAAAATAGGATGAAAAGAATCAAAAGCCGTTTGAATGCCTGATCAAACTGTTTCGAATAATAATCTTTCTACTCCTGTTTCTTTCTGCAATCAAATGGGTTTTGATTAGAGGTGTACCGGATACTCTTTTTTATAACCGTCGCCACTGAGGATATTTTATGTCAGCACTGTGGTCTGTGCGAGCTAAGTTTCAATCGACCAGTTATGGGTGGGATTCGAACTCGGTTCACCTCAATGACTGCAATTTGTATTATCATAAAGCCCATATTTTTAACTAATATTTCTTTTAAATATTTGAAACTTCTATTACTTGAAGAGATCGTGAGATACATCCCCGATAAAATGACGATCGTTCTTCTGTGATGGCAGTTCACAAGATCCCACAATCAAACAATCCGATTGTCCCTGGTAGAGAGGTTTGAAGTTCGAGAAGGAGTCTGCAAATTTGAATTCCGGATATGAGCTGCTGATATTCTTAGGGACCATGCTGTGGAGTCTGAAAGCTGCTCCTGAAAATTCTACAATTAGAGTTGGATTCACTTCCTCTTTGTAAAGAGAACCCTCAGAGAAATCAAGATCCAGTTCGTACTTCCGCATCATGTCAGTACCAATCAAAAGTGGAAGATATTCTCCGTATGTTACACGCTGCATTACGGCTATCACAATTCTCCTAAAGAAGAAGAGAAAATATAAGTCTGTGAGATTTTATACTTTAACGCTACAAAATAAAGTCGATTTTTTGAAGTTATACTTCTTATGCGATTTCCAACAAGGTTGCGTTCAACGTTTAACGCTACATTTTTATTGGCTGGGAAATCACGTGGTAGGATCCAGTTTTCCCTCATTCATTTCCATATTGTTTTGGTCCTCACTAGCATAAAAATAATAAAAGTCATAAAAGTATTGTTTTCCTATAAATATTGAAGAAGAGCCTCAGAGCTCAAATAAATCTTATTAGGCTAAATTAAACCTTACCTATTGAAACGCAGTGCTATAAGCGAAAGCAGAGAGCACGCCGCACTTTACTATACTCAATACTCAATATTTTCTTAGTTTGTTTCGATACACATATAATTTAATAGGGTAGTATTCTTTATTTTCAAGTTTAGTGGATACAATTGTAAAAAAAATGAGTGAAAACAATCCCACGGACAATGTGGCGGATTTAAGGTTATGTCAAGGTACGTCTCTTGTGAATATCAATTGATTGTTAGGTTTTCTCTTTTGAAATTACATTATGACGCATTCACATACATTACTAATACAAATACAGGGCGAGACGATGAGGCAACCACAAGCACTTCCAATGGTTCAAGAGGTCCACGAGGGAAAAATGCGCAATATTACCGTTATTACAGAGCACGGAAGCGAGTGGAGCAGGAAAAAGAGTCGTTGAATAGAACTAGTGATCCTTCTACGACTGCTGGTTCTTCTACAATTAACGTCGCAGATTGCGAAGTTTAACTTCTTCCGCACGGAGGGACTCCACGCACTATTTTTTTTACAGAAGTACCTACTAACGTGAAGGTACACGTGGAAATGCGTACTCTGAAGCGTCTCTTTGTAAACAGAATAGATGTCGCAAGGTTACGTGATTTCTCCACTCTCCACACTTATCCCCTCTCTATTTTTATGGTTTTAATAATTCTTACTTTTTTCCCGCTGCAGTATGTTTCAGAACGACGTTGAATATATTTGCAGAGAAAAAAAAAGTAAGATTCTCCGAAACCATGGTCACAGAGAGAGAAGAATTGTGGACGGTCAAAAGTGGATTCGTAACCAAATGCCATCTATCGGTAGAAAATGGTATTAACTACAACTCCATACAGCATAATATGCATGGTTTTATCTTTATTTTGATAAGGATTACAATTAAATTTGTCAAAAATATTTAACCAAAGATAAAAGAAAGCACTCCATAACTAAAAACTTAACTTTTAATGAGAATATTAAATCACACAATTTAACAATTAAGGAGCGTAACAAGGAAGAAGATTTTCGATATCACTGGGAAGGCAAAATTGTACCAATAGCAATCAAGAGAGAGAATAAGCTTATTTCAAATTGAAAATCAGTTTTCAAGTAATTATATTCAATCCTGCTCATGAAGAGTCAGCTCAGAGGATTATACAGGGTATTCCATAAAGACCTTCCACATTGTATATATTTCTCGTATCCTTATAAAATTCAAAACGTGTAATTCAAAAAAAGTAAACACATGGGAAGGCATGAGTTAAATTTTTTCAGCGAAAGCTTTGTTGGAGTCTGACATATCGCAGTAGCGAAAGGCAAATGCTACAAAAATCAATACAGGTTAAATTAGATTATAACCGTCGTTGAACAGCCGACCCAATTTTGAGTTTACGACTATCAATGTTCAACGCCATAGCCTTGTAAATTTGAACCCAATCCAGAAGAAGAGGAAACTCCATGATCAAGAATTGGGAGAAATTTTGTCTTCGTGGAGGACTTTTTGATGGAGCTAACCAGCATTTGAGTTGCATGGAGAAAAACCACGAAAACCTCCCACGGTTAGTCTCATGGCAAAGGGAACTCTAATCCATGTTCCGTCTACCACTGAGGATATTTTACGTCAGCACGGTGGTCGGCGCGACCCTGGTGCGGAATTCATATCGACCAGCCGTTGCTGGGATTCGATCCCGGTTCACTTCATTGAAAGGCGAACGCTCTATCCTCTGAGCCACCACGGCTCTATGGTCCCAAATTAAAAATGTTATGAAAAAAAATTAGAAATATCGAAAAAAATATATAAGTGTATAATACTTAATGACGCTAAAATGTTTTATATGTTTTTGATATTCTTTAATAATTTGGTAAATAAGGAAATAAAATCGGAAGTTTAGAGAAAAGTTCAGTTAAACCAAAAAGTTTCAAATGCTGGGAAAAAAAGTTTTTTCAAAATGCAAAGAAAGTTTTTCGCTTCCCCACTTTTTGCATTTTGATAGTTTTATTTTTCCCAATGACTACCCCAGTGACACTTATGATTCAGGTAGCAGCGAGGCAATTGTATTGGCTACTCTTAAAGGAGCACCATATTATAGGAGGGCCAACGCTGCTCCCACACTAGGGACAAATTGTACAAAGAATGAAAGAACATCTATGCATCGTCCGGTATTCAAACTCAGGGTAGGTACTTTATTTACGACACATTACAGCTGCACAATGGGCTATCGGCGACGATCTGGGAAACATCCCTGAAGATGACCCAAAGACATGCCATCGCAAGTTTGATCCTCTGCAGAGGGGATGACTCTCCTGCTTTGGTAGCCCGACGACTTGCGCGCGAAGTCGTGCACTTTACGGTAGAACAGTTAAACGAGGACCGATAACTCGCACCCTCGGTTCTTATGCAGGCTGATCAAAGTGGTACCCACTCGCTTACTGACCGCAGCCAGTGATGCTTGACTTCGTTGTTCTACTGAATACCATTTTTCAGCTACTAAGTGTTTTACTGGGAAAATGGATGACAGTTTGATGCGTGCTCAACACCTGGGCCTCCTTTGTTTCACAAGTAGTATATGCTAACAATTAATATTCAATTTTAATCTACTCGTGCATCGAAGCTTAAGTGATCCCTCTGAACAAGATCACTGGTTAGTCCATCGACCTGTTGTCATCTTTCGTGATCCAGATTTTTCTTTTTGGTGTCCTCTCTTTTTGTACTGACACAGTCACGTGCGCACTTCATGTCAATGGTATTCCCTGGATGCCCCGTATGGAGGGTGAAACAGGGTTAAGCCGAGCGACTGAGAACCGTGTCTTTACGATCAGTCAACTGCGGGACTCAAACTCAAGACTTTTCTGATGTGATGTCAGCTCCCTCTTCGGCGTATCTTGATAGTTTGTTTCAGTATTTAAAACTTCACCTGAACTCTGCACTTACCATAAGTAATAGTAAGTGTAGAGTAAGTTATAGTGTAGTTGAAATATAGAAGTAGGTATTCTTCCGCATATTTTGAATTGATATTTTTCTAAAGTTGTTAATACCTAACTTCCTGAAATGTTTTCTCAGCATTCCAATGATCGTTGATTTGTCGCAGGCTTTCTGCAATAACATTGTGCAATCTGACAAATATAGTGTGCAGGGCTGTCAGTGTTGTATGCATATTCACTCGATGATCGCCTACAAAAGAAACATATTATGAGAAAAATTTTAAAATGTACCGTGTTACCCAGAAAATACTTAGATTTTTACCTGATCTGAAACAGGCAGCTGTCTCGTTGTAAGGGCAAAATACTTCATTTTCTATTTCATTCTCGCAGAGTATAGGGCCGAATGACGAAAATCGAGTCTTCATTCTTCCTGATGAAATATATATATATATAAATATATGTTTTAATTTTTTTCTGGTTTCCGCATCACATTTCAGATTATTAGAGTATTACAGTAGGCTACATTATTGAAGGGCGGTACAGAAGCTGAAGCTGCAGTCACACAGAATTTTGGGAACTGGAAATGATTTTTGAAATTTTTTTACATATTAATACTTGTAATTTCTTTATAAATTCATTATATATTTTGAGTGCAAATTTCACAAAATAGAGAAAGTAAGAAGTTTGATCCCTTTCTTACGACAACCCTCCAAAAGATTCCAGTTTTTTTCTAAAAAAATATTGCCCCTTCTTTGAATTGTTTTTTTTTTATTTATTCATATTTATTTTTTCATTCATTTTATTATCTATATATATCTATATATATAAATGAAGAGATCGATAGATAGATAGATAGATACGGAATACGGGATAACATCACTGAGGATGATCCGGAGACAACATACATATGTCACGTCCGACTTTACAAGATGGACACACCATCCATTTATCCGCGGATCGCATATCGTAAGTTTGACCTAAACCAAAGTACGATCAATCTCCTATCTAGCACCCCCAGAGGTATTGATTTGTTATGGAAACTTGGAGGACTTTGTGTCCCCGACAGATTTAGCATGCACCAGTCACCATTTAGCACGGGGAGTATACGACAGGCGGGAATCAAACTTACGTGCTCTGAGCGAAACTCCCTACCAGTCAGCTAGATTATTCCGGTCCGGTTAAATATATATATATATANATATATAAAGCATTCCCGCAACGACCCGTTGTGGGCAAGGGGGGTCATGGATGATATGGCTCCACAATTTCGTGACCAACGGCATGATTGTGGCATTGTGGTCAGCACTGCGCATAGGCTGCCTCTATTTCCGTGACAAGCTGGTACCTATCGTTCTAGAGCCGGGTGGGCTTCAAGCCGCCACTGGGGATCGGAACCCAGCTCTTTGCTGCGACTGCAAACCATGAGACTAATTTAGGACATCTTGTGTACAAAATATAGTTAATTAAAAAGAAATGTAAACATTTAAACTTGCATACCATCATTGTCATATCTTCGCAGCTCTTCATCATCAACCTCATTGTTACCATAAATTGTAGACATATCCAAAAAAGAGTTTACCTTGGCCACCGGTGATCGCTTATCTGCAACATATAATTTGATTCAACCATTATGAAAAAATAGCATAGTAGATTAAAAGAGCGTAGTAGGAAAATGCGTAAAATGACAAATGATGAAAAAAAAAAGCAGATTTAATATGCATAGAAACATTTGAAAGCTGTTAACAAAACGTCTTTTATTTCTGCTAAAAACCACTTTATTAAAAGATTCATTCCAATGAACTAATATTTTGACACACAACCATGATATATTTCTGAAACCAAAATCTCTAAATGTTTCTCAAAAATATACATTCTTCCATTTAGCTTTTCAAGCATACGTTTTAACAGTGAAGATTTCTCATTTCTTAACAGTGAACCAGCAATAAATATTGATAACCGGGTAAGTAATGATAATTCAGTGGGAACTGATAAACAAGAAAGTACAGCCGGACCTCTATTTAAAGAAGTCTTTAAATCCCGATAATAAGTTCGTTATAGGAAAAATTCGTTAAACAGAAAATAACCTTTTGAAATACTTAAGAAAACACAAAACATGTTCTAAATTCATAAACACTAGATATAATTACAATTGATACACCTTTACCACTAGTATCTACTATTTATTTTATAAGTCTTAACCGTAAAAGAAATCTGCATGGAAAGCAGGAATGGAGCAAAACATTATCCACTGTTACACTAGCAAGCTATATACATTTTTTATTAAAAGAAAGCTAAATTTATGTACTAAATTATAGCTGCACTTATTATAAAAGTAATTTTAAACATATATTACCACATGCGTTCTTAAGTTTAATTGCTACTGATAAAATTCGTTGATTTTGTCTGAGTTTTTCGTTTAAAATGCAAACAAAAAAGGAAAATGATTTTACTGCTTTCTCTAAAAGTTAAGTGGCTTTGAAAATCAATTCAAGGTCATTTCCCCCATAAAATGAGTTAACAAGTTTGAAATGTTCTGAAATATTTCGAGAAATAGGGGAAAAAGATCTTGAAGAAAAGTTCGCTAAATAGAAAATTCCCTTCGCGATTTGGAAATTATTTGACGAAGAAATTTCTAAAAGTGTTCTTAGTTCCTCGAAAAAAATCTCAAAATAGAGAAATTCGCAAAATGGAAGTTCGCAAAGTAGAAAACCGATTGTATTGATAAACTAGTGAACATTCACCACGGCAATTATTGAGTACCAGTCATTATGGTTAACCAAGTATATATATCGGAAACTATAACTAATACATATTTCGTACACATATAATTTAAGAGTTTAAGAGGAGAGAAACTCTCACCATGTTTATGCTATAGAATATTTCACTTTTCTAGCTTCTCAGATGAAACTAAAGAGGAATCACAGGAGGAACCTTTTCATATTCTAATTTGCCCACATAAGTAATTTAAAATTTAATCTTTAGAGTTGAGTTTCAAATGCTGAGAAAAATGTTTTCGAAATGCAAACAAATTATGGCAGGTATCGGTGAGTGAGGAGGTCAGCAGAAACGAGAAGTGTTTTCCAAACTTACCGAAACTGCAGTGGGGATAAGGCAGGGCTCGAATGAAATTTTGGCAATCCACGTTTAGTTTGGCGTAGAAAGGGTCATTACCCGGATAGTAGATTGGCGCACATCTGGGGTCATTCCTTTCCGAAGAATCACAGCAATTATAGAATTCGTTATTTTCTGCAAATGGAAGGGCCTTTTTTAAGACAAATATGTCAACACATTAAAGTTATATTCTTAATAATCAAGCTGAAAAAAATTGGTTGTGGGAAGTCATAAAGAAAAATGAATTTTTTTTTTTTTAATCCTTGAAGTATGTAGATTGATCTAGTCATATACCATTATCCTAATTAATTTCATTCACGTTACGTTGAGTCTAGCAGTGGACTGATAGTAATCCTTGAACGAAATGCAAAGAACTAAATATTTCCATAGACAACTTCAATGAATCGTGTCCCGCAGTGGACTGATCGTTCAGACACCGCTCCTAGCAGATCACCGAAGTCAAGCGTCACTGGTTGCAGTCAGTAAGCAGGTGGGTAACCACTTTCATCTGCCTGTGTAGAGATCGAGGGTGTGCGGTGTGGGACCTCGTTATAAACTGTTCTGCCGTAAAGTGCTCGACTTCGCGCGCAGGTCGTCGGGCTACCAAAGCAGGGGACCCATCCCCTCTGCAGAAGATCAAAATTTGCGATGGTATGTCCTCGGATCATTCTCAGGGATGTTTCCCAGACTGTCGCCAATAGCCTATGTTGCAGCTACAGTAGTACGACGTAAATGAAGTACCTACCTACAATACGTGGAATCATACGCATGTGAAATAGTCAGTCTAAAATATATGTGGCAGTTTTCTTGAAAGGTTGACTTTTAGATTCCAATCCAATCATACGATTAATTTTATAGTAAATATTAGATGTAACTAAATTGAACCCTCTAATTTTAAATAATCCACAATTGTAGGAATGAATGGGGGAAGGAGGTACAACGGCATTTTTTTTTCAGTTCTAACAAATCCATAATTGGAACATACGACTTCTTTAAAAATCCGATTTCTCAGAAACTATTCGACCGATTTCACTCAAGCTTTGTATTTTGCCATGCAAATTAACTTTCTTTAAAATGATGTAAAAAATTTAATATCATTCATTTCAAAAGTTTTTTTTAACCCATGTTAAGTAAAATGCTAAAAATATAATAAACATTTTTTTAAACTTATTCTTTGTATGGATAAACAAATTTTGTAACTGTGTACAAATATTTTTCAATTCGCTTAAAAAGTTCACGAGATATGGCGGACACTCAGAAAATAAAATTAACATTAAGGAATCCTAACTTTGGATCGCTCTCCTAACCAAACTATTGGGACCATATTTTCCCGATTCCGAGTGCCTCCGATATTTTGGGGTCAGAAATCCGAATCCGACGAAAAAAGCAATGTTTATTCAGGGAAAATACGTTTTTATGTCTGATTTCGTAACTTAAAATACCGCCTGCATTAATTAATTAGCATATTTAAGTTCACTCCCTTAAACCATTGAGTCCTAGATCGTGAAAATCCTATTATTAGATTAAAAGCTATTCAGGGTAGTCCTTTTTTTGCGCAATGTACGTGAATCTATACATCTATCTATACAGTTAATAAAATAAAGAATTTATGTGTCTGTCTACCGGATAACGTGTGAACCGCAGGCTCAAAAAGTACGACATTCCACATGAAGCAGAATGAGTATAATTATAAACTAATTACGAAGCTCTATTATAGATTTTTTTTACTCTATTTTTCATTTAGAAACATTTAAAAAATGGAATTTTCTCATTTTCCCATTGCTTTAAAGTGAACCATAAACGTTTAAATTTTTTCAACGTGTTTTGCTTATTCCAATAACATAAAGCCACCGGGAAGAATAACATATAATAATAAATGTATGAAACGCATTGGAATCATTTTAACTCTAGGAGAGAGTGGGGTCAATTGTAACATTTTATACCTAACTATTTTTAGCTAACAAAAAATCCAATATATTATTAGTATTAATTGACAGACGAGTAAAGTAGACTATCCTCTACTAGAAAAAAAAAATACCTTATTTTGAATGTTATTATATTAGTTATTAACAATTTTTGACAGTCTTGCACTTGTTACAATTGTCCCCACTTACGGGGTCAATTGTAACAGTTCATAAATTCAACTAAAACATAGTTAATTATACATATTATCACAGTTGTGATATATTTTTTTATTGGTCAAAGTAGTAGTGATATTTTAGGAGTAAAAATAATAATGAGCAGAAACCTAAAGGGTTAAACTTTTAACTTTAAGAGGTTAAAAATTTTAATTTATGCTGTGAAAGGTGACAAATAAAATAATGCACATGCAACATAATATAAATGATATAG